CTCGCTGCCTCCCGGCAAGCCCTCCCTGCTCCTCGCCCTCACGCTGAGCTCGTCTCTGCCAAGTCCACGTTCACTGCCCCTTCCACAGACGCCCTCTGGCAACCAGAGTCCTTCAGCTTCGCACAAGTTTCCCATCTTCCTAGGCTAGCAGGCTGGAGCCTGGTGTTCTCTCGTTCATGGTCCCGACTCCTCCTCCTGCCCTGAGTCTCTTCTTCCTAAGCAATGCTACACAGATGAACACAAGTGTACATGCATGGATTCACACACTCTTGCATATGCACATGCACCCACATGTGTACACATGCATGCACATGCATTCACATACGGACCGTGTTCTCCTCTTTGGAGAACTGTCCACTCCTATGTCCTCAGACAGTCTGTCAGGCTATTTTTCAGACCAGATGGGAGAACTGCAACAAGGGTCACTGTCAGGGGCCATGGGAAGCCAGGGTCATCCCTGGCTCCTAACTGGGGAAAGTTCACTGGGAGGGCTGTGGTGACACCTGGAGCCCCGCAGAGCAGCCACTCAGGGCTCTGCACTGTGCCCAAGTTGCATCCTTGGTGCCGCCTTTCCCAGCCCTGGCCTTTTCCAGAGAATTAACATGCAGTCACCACCACTCCTGAAAATGAGTGCTACATGGAGCCTTCTCGCCCTGGGCCCCTCCAGGGACCTACAGCCCCTCTCGTAGCTGGGTCTGGCACTGGAGTGCATGGGGACTCGGTGTGTACTTATCAGTGGTTGCTCTCCCCCACTGGGTGTCCTGAATCATATGCAGTACCAAGAGAAATGGCAAATCAAATCTTGTATATGGGTGGGCTCTATGATGTGGAATTATTTTGCAATAAAGCTGCTTTTAAACTTCACTTGATCACTTGACATCCCGTTACTCATCGATTTGCTCAAGCAGGTACCAGTAACGTCTCCATTTGTTCCTATCACGTGCTAGTGTAGTTCAATGGTGTCTGCTCGTTCTAAGAACACGAAGAGCCTCAAACCAATCGTTCAGGGTCTTGACGAAGAAGTCTGACCATCTCATAGATGGGCGGCCATGTGATCTTTTGACGTCCTGTGGAATCCAGTCGGTAATGGCTCTATCCAGTGGTCGTCTCCAAATCTCATTACATGTCCAGCCTATCTGATTTTCAACGCCTTGGCAAATGAGACAGCATCCCTGATTATTGATCATCGCTGGAGATCGGAACTCTGGATTCTTTCTCTCATTTGAGTGAAGCGTGATACTATGCTTGCATAACTTTTTCAATTCCTCTTTGGAAGACCCGAATAGGGTTCTCATACTGTTTTTGTAGGGCCCAGGTCTCTGAGGTGTATGTTAATTCAGGAAGAACAGTGGAATCGAAGAGATGTTCCTGGAGCTGGAGAATCTACGCCCTCTTAGCTATTTCTTCGACACTCTTGAAGACGTTCCAAGCCGCTCTCTTCCTCCTGCAAAACTCAGGTGCCAGGTCATTCATCATGTTGACTTCTCAACCTAGGTACATATAACTGTTGCATTTGGAGAGTTCGTTCCATTGAGAACGAATGGAACATCAGGAACAAATCTGTTTCTCATAAACATTGTCTTCGTGAGATTCAACTGTAGTCCGACCTTTCCATACTCACAGTTGAAGTCTGCCAGCATTTGTGCCGCTTGGCTGATGTTTGGTGTTGTTAGAACACCAAAGAAGGCTTTTAGACAACACCTGGGAAAGTTTCTCTGTGAAGAAAACTTCCTGAGCCAGGTGGAGTTGGTGCCACTGCCCAGGGTGTCCTCTGAGCCCACAACCCGGGGCCCGGCCGCCCTGGAGTGTTTCCACAGCCCCACGGAGAATTCTTGGCTCAGACAGACCAGAGCCACGTAGGTGGGGGCAGCTTTTGGTGGGCTTGACAGGGGGATGGACAGGGCCGGCATGAGGGACTGAGTTGGTGAGACTGTCACACCCCTCCTCATGCCAGAGCTGGACATTGAACTCTAGAACAAAAAACTCATGTCTTTGTGATTTTTCTGCAAGTTTAGAACATTTGTATTTTATATGTTATGCATTTGTGTTCATAGTCTATAAATATTCACATCCCGAGTGCCTGCGAGTTTCAGGTATTCTGAGGTGCAGGTTACCCCACACAAACTGCAATGACCGGGCAGAGCCGATCCCCAGGTGCCACCCCGCAGCCTCAGGGTGTAACAAAGGCTCGGGACCAGGTGAAGCCTCCAGCAGAAGCCCATGCAGCTGCACCTTCTGTGGGACCTGCCACTGTCAGAATACAAAGTCACTTCTCAGGCAAGGCCTCTACTGGCAGATGACTGTTTGAACATTATGCTTAGAGTGAGCAGAGTTTGGATTCTGCCCACACTTGGAGTTAAGAAGCCACGACTTCCAGATGAAGCTATCTCACCTGTACCCCATGTGGCCTCCCTTCAGGCTCTCCATCCTCTGAGCTTTTCTAGTAGAGGGTGTAGACTACACCTAGTAAAATGTGTGAATGAGCAAGAGCAAGAGCACAGTGGGAGGGTGCTTGTCTTGCACATGCCAACCCAGTTTCGATCCCCAGCATCCCACAGGGTCCCCCAAGTCCACCAGGAGTGATCCCTGATTTGTCGCTGGGTATGGTCCAAAATCAAACTAACAAAGAAATGATGTGAATAAGGTGGAGCCAGAACAACCCTCCCCCCCAGGCCACAGGGGTTGACGCACCCTCCGCCGAGGAGCCCACCAGCACTGGCTGGCCATGCTCCTACCCGAACACAGACCCCATGCACAGACAGGCAGACTCCAGGTGCCTCCCGCTGCCTGCACACCACAGCCCTCAGCCCGCACAATGTTTCCCGAACGTTCTTGCATAAACACAGCTTGTTATAATAGTATATCTACACAATAGAATGCTACTCAGCTATAAGAAAAATCATGCAATTTTCCACTACGTGATGAAACCGAGGGGACTGTGCCCAGTGAGGTCAGCCCAGAGGAGGGGGACAGACACAGAGTGACTCTCTCAGGGGAATAACTAAAGGCCAAGAGCAGCAGAATCTAAGATCTGCTCTACAGAACTGAGCTTATCATAGCAGTGAGGTGGGGGGTAGTGCAGATGGCATTGTACTACAGGTTAATGAGGGGGAACCCTCTCAACAGTGGAGGGAAATGGACACTCAGGTGGGCTGAAATATTTAATGCAACAATATTTCAGTTATAGTACTGAAACATTGCATTCGTAAAATATTATCATGAACAGTATCTTAAAATTGTAAATCATGGTGACTGAAAAAAATATTAAGCAAAGGTGTCAGAGCACTGGGAGAGCAGGTAGGGCACTTGCCGTGCCTGTGGCCATCTAGCCTCTCATATCCCACCCAGCATCCCCCCAGAGCCAGGAGAAGCCCTGAGCATCGAGCAATAAAGGAGCCCCCAGCAAAGAATGTCACACTCTCTTCCCAAGCTCTTCCACCTTTGGGGCAGACTGGTTAGAATCCTGACAGATTAGCCTGGAGTTTCATGAGGAAATGGTAAAACTGGTAAGAATCAAAACAAAACAAACAAACAAAGCCCTTCTTTTAAGTAACTTCCCTGTCCCTTATCTGCACTGGGGACTTGGGGGGGTGGGGGGCCCTGTCCCCTGGCCTGAGGCCACTCCCTGGGATTCTCCACCAGGCAGGTGGCAGATTAATGGAAGATTCACAGATACTACACTTCCTGGGACTGAAGACCCCCCCCCCCAGCTTTCTGGGCCACTCGGGAACTGTGGACCCTCCCTCCATAGTGGGCCCTGTAAGACCCTGCCCCACAGTCACGCAATGTAGGATAACATTGGTGTGTCCTTTCCACCTTGCCACAAGGGATCTTAGGTTTATTGGGTTGTACCAATTCACAGAGCTTCCAAGGCACTTCCATTCCTCTGTGTTTATCTGTAACCTCTTTCTTTGTGCTCTGCTTCCCCAACCAGTCATTCATCTTTATCTCCTACTCAGATGCTGTTAACTTGTAAATATTGCTTTTCTCATCTCCTTAAGTCCTTTGCATAGTTAATTCAGAGCAATGTCCTTTTTGTATAGACACAGGAAGACAGTTAATGCTATGCTTTTGTGACTTGGGAGTTAATTGACTCCAAATGATATTCACTCCTGGGCATTCGTTCTCCCGACTTAAGCCTCAGTTGCCCTTACTTCCCAGCACCCCAAAAGCAGGGTCCTGACGAGGGACTGGATGGAACCAGGGCAAGTTGTGAGCTACCCTGGCATCAAGATGAGCCAGGCCAAAATGCCAGAATACTTAACTGTAAGTTAAGAGCATGGTCATGGACAAATTCTGTCATGATTCAAAGAGTAACAACTGGATTAGGACCTGTTAGGTTTAGGAAAGATTAATCTGGTCTGAGCACTGTAGTCTGGGATCTATAGCAAGATGCCCCCAGGAGAGCCACCCTACAAGCTTAATGCATTTCTTACTGTGTCCATACAAAATAATTCACTGTCACTGTCACTGTCCTCCTGTTGTTCATCGATTTGTTCGAGCAGGCCCAGTAACGTCTCCAATTTGAGACTTGTTGTTATTGTGTGTGGCATATCGAATATGTCACAGGTAGCTTGCCAGGCTCTGCCGTGAGGGAGAGATACTCTCGGTAGCTTGCCGGGCTCTCTGAGAGGGGCAGAGGAATCGAACCTGGGTCGGCCCAGCCAGCCTTGTGCAAGGCAAATGCCCTACCGCTGTGCTATCGCTCCAGCCCCCAAGCAAATTGAAAAAAAAATTTTTTTTAAATAAATTACCTTTTTCCAGAGATTTAGGAGTTAAAACCAAACCCTAACTAAACACGAGAATAAGTTTTATTTTACTATTCAGACACTTTATTTGAACTTTTATTAAGCAAACCAAATCCAAGACTTTTTCAGTGCCTTACTCGGGGGTTTCCTGAACTCTCATTTCTGGAGAGAAAGAAACTTGGCTTCAGGCACATGGCAGATGTTTGGTTGTGTTCCATCATCAATGCTCCAATCACCAGGAACAGAAAGCTCAGCGCGAGTATGGTCCTACGGGAGGTGCTTCTTCAGCTCTACCACCAGCTCCTGTGGCTCCAGGAACTTGAGTTTGCACAGGGAGCCCTTCTTAATTCCAGTCCAGAGCTCCACGCGGCTGCCATCCGGGCGCAGCAGCGTCACCTCGAAGCTGCCCCTCCGGGGCTTGGTGCGGTTCACCTTCACGGGCAGCTCTGGGGCCTCCTGGCGTAGCGCCTGGCTCAGGGCCATGGCGTTGTGCCGGTAGACACGACAGCTGGTGCAGTGCTCAATGACGACCACCATCTCGTCCACCTCTGGCAGCTCGCTGCCCACCTTCTCCCGCTTCTCAGCCAGGCCGTTGCTACCAGTGCCATAGTGGCCTCGTAGCCTTGGGGCTTTGAGCTTCTTCCTGTAAGAAATAGAATTAAGATGTTCATTAAGTTGTTGGACTAAGGAAAGGAGAAAAACCTCTAGGTGGTATTTCTGCCCTTGAGCCTGATCTCCTGGCTGCAGGCAATCAGGAAGGGCTTTCATATGTTGATTGTGCTACCCGACCTAAGTGTGTGGCTGCTACCCCCAATCCTGGAAAGCTGGGGAGAGACAGAGAGACCAAGGCAGCCAGTCAGACTGTGGAGATATGAATGAAGGAAGAGAGTGGAATGGGAAGCTTAAGGAGATTGGAACAGGTGCATAGGGAGAATGGAATAAGCAGCAACTGATCACCAACCAGCCTGGCCCTCGTTTCCTCCTTTGTCTGCCTATGGCATCCACTGTCCTGGGTGGGGGAAGTGGCACGAGCCCACCCAACACAGGCAGCGAGAGAGCTGCCAGGATTCCTAGTCACCTGGTCATTACACAACACAGGATCACCGGTAGCCTGTCCTACCGGAGAACCCAAAGCAAGTGGTCAAGCAAACCTGACACACAAGTTCCCAGTTACCCCCAGTGACAGGGCCAGGGAGACAGCTCAGTGGTCGGGGAGCAACCCACACACCAGGGCCCATGCACAAGCCACAGCACCCCACAGCTCCCTGATGGGTTGGGTCCTGTGGGTCTCAGTGTGGCCCGGGCAGTCCCTTAGGAGTGTGCCCTGAGCACGAATGCAGACGTCCTCCCTCAGCTCCAACCCAACACCCAAATGCCCCCTTCTGGGCTCAGGGGCACCCATCAGAACCCAGAGTCCCACCAATGAATCCCGAGGGGAGGTGACAGCGGGACCACGGACACCAGAGCCCAAGACTCTGACCTGACATCCTGGGACATGCCCTAAAAGTAAGTATCCACAGGGCTCTGGTGGGCAGCAAGGCTCAACCTGGACATGCACTCGAGACAGAGGGTGCCAGAAAGGTAAATGAGAAGGAGGATGTGGGTGTTGGCTTCCCTGAGGAAGGTGAACAAGATCACGTGCTCCCACGCGCTGATCAGCAACAGGCCTGAAACCCAGTGCCACGCGGAGCCCCCACTGGGAGTGACAAGCGAGACTTCCACCTCCCCACCTGGGGACACAAGGCTTTTGTTTTTGAAAAAACAAACAGTAAGACACAGTAGACTAAGAATTCCCAGGAAATGGCAGGGTGCACAGTAAGGAAAATCTAGTCGCTTCAGCCTGTGTCAGCTAGAAATGTAAACTTAAGCTGCTCAAACGTCACCAGAGTTTAAAACTGAGCATCCAGGAAGCTGGAGTGATAGCACAGCAGGTAGGGCATTTGCCTTGCATGCGGCCAACCCGGGTTCAATTCCCAGCATCCCATATGGTCCCCCAAGCACCACCAGGAGTGATTCCTGAGTGCAGAGCCAGGAGTAACCCCTGTGCAATGCCCAGGAGTGACCCAAAAAAGGAGAAAAAAAACCAGCATCCAGAGCAGTAGTAGAGTGAGGAGTGTGTTGGCCTTAAGTGTGGCCAACTTGGGTTTGATCCCTGGCACCACATATGGTCCTCCAAACGCTGCCAAGAATGTTCCCTGAGCACAGCTAGGTGTGGCCCCAAAATAAAAAATAAATAAAACTGAATGCGCGGACCAGGCTCACCTCAACAAATGAATAGGTATCAGGGGGAAACCTAGAGTTCATCTAGGTGCACACGTACAGGGCCCTCATAGGAAACTGCATTTCCGATTCCTTCCTCCACTCCTGGGACTGTGACAAATAAACCACCTGCACTCCAGGGCCTCAGGTCTGCTTGAGCCCAGCCAGGACCATGGAGACCATCTTTCCTCCCCATCCCAGCAGGGGGACACCAGACATCCAAGCATTCTGGACGCTAGTCAGAGAAGAAGTGTGAGGGCAGACTGAAAGCCTTTTGCTGTTGAGCCAAGGAGACTGTGAGAAGGTAGGGTTTGGGCCTAGAAGCCCAGCAGGGTCCATGAGAACACGAGCAGGGCTGGTACCGCCCAGATTCAGCACTCCCAGCCTCACATAGACAGACAGGACAAGAAAATCCGGCTCTGGAGATGAAAATAGGACCAACATCACCACACCAACCAACACGGGTGGGGCTGTGCCTGATAACATTATCAATCAAGGAAAACTCATGGCCCTTTTCCCCTCCCTGAAAGTGTCTGTACCTGCTTGTCACTGCTCTCTTTAAGCAGGAGCCTTCCTCCTTCCAAAACCCTCTGAAACCCTGATTCCAGTGTCCCCGGAGACCTTACAGAGGACACACCAATACCTGCCTTGCCTTAAGAAACTCATCCTTACCTATGACATTTTTCAAAGAAATAGACAAAATGCTCCTGAAATTCATATGGAACAATAAACCTCTACGAATAGCTAAACCAATCCTTGGGAAAAAGAAGATGGGTGGCATCACCCTCCCCAACTTCAAACTGTACTACAAAGCAGTAATATTTAAGACAGCATGGTACTGGGCTAGAAACAGACTTGCAGACCAATGGAACAGAGTTGAATATTCTGTCACAGACCCCCAAATATATGACCACTTAATCTTTGCCAAAAGAGCAAGAAATGTGAAATGGATCAAGGAAAGCCTCTTCAACAAGTGATAAACTGGGAAAACTGGATAACTACCTGCAAAAAATTGAACGCTGACCTCTGTCTAATGTCAAGCACAAAAGTCAGATCAAAGTGGATTATATACCTCAATATCAGACATGAATCCATAAGGTACATAGAGGAAAATGTAGGCAGAACTCTCCACAACATTGAAACTAAAAATATCTTAAAGGATGAAACAGCACTGACCATGCAAGTGGAAGCAAACATAAACAAATGGGACTACATCAAACTAAGAAGCTTCTGCACTTCAAAAGAAACAGTGACCAAAATACAGAAAGAGCCCACAGAATGGGAAAGAATATTTACCCAATACCCATCTGATGTCATCAGCAAAGCGGAGGTGGTGTAGTTGCCGACCATCTATCTTCACTCCCATTCCTTCCCATTCCAGTCGTCGCATGATGTTCTCGAGGGTGGCACTGAAGAGTTTCGGTGAAATGGTTATCACCCTGCCAAACCCCTCTCTTGACATCAATGATTACTTCTTTGTAGAATGGTGAGATCCTGGTAATGAATCCGCAATACAGCTCACGGAGGATCTTGATGTATTGGGCTTGAATGCCCTGATTGGCTAGGGCTTCAATGACCGCTTCTGTCTCAACAGAATCAAAGGCCTTCTTTAAATCAACGAACGTTAGACAGAGCGGCATCTTGAACTCCCGAGAAACCTCAATGAGCTTGGTTATCATGTGGATATGGTCGATGGTGCTGAATCCTTTGCGGAACCCAGTTTGCTCGCATGGTTGTCCTTCATCTAGTGTTCTGCCAATCCTATTCAGGATGACTCGAGTGAACAACTTGTAGATGACAGACAATAGGCAGATCGGGTGATAGTTGCCAATGTCATGGATGTCTCCCTTCTTGAACAGTAGTACGGTCCTGCTGGTTTTCCACTGGGACGGAACCTTGCATTCAGACAGGTAGCGTGTGAAGAGCCGAGCCAGTGTATTGATGAGTACTGATGGCAGGTTCTTCAGGTGTTCAGGTCTGACCTTGTCTGGGCCGGGTGCTGTTTGTTTCTTTGCCAACAAAATGGCGTGTCAGATTTCGGAAGGGAGAACGTTGGGAACGACATATCCATCCTGTGGAATTTGGTATGTCGGCAAGTGGACATGGCTATCGAAGAGATTTGAGTAGAAGTCATGGATAATCTTCTCCATTGCTGTTCTGGAGGATGTGATGGATCCATCAGGACGCCGGAGGGCAGTCATCTTGGTCTTGTAGTTGGCGAAGGACAGACAGGCGTTACGAATATTTTCCAGGCTTCTGCCACATCTACCAGCACTTCTGCTCTTCTCTCTTTGAGGTCTTCCTTGATCGCATCTCTGCACTGCTTTGCAAGCTCGGACGTTAGCTTGCGGTTGCCTGAGGCATGCCCCAAACCACGTTGGCGAATAAGCTCAAGAGTTTTCGAAGACAGGCGTCTTTTTGTGGCTATCTCTCTCTTGGCATTCCTCGCACATTCATGGAGGTGCTGTACCAGTTGATCGTATTCCTCATCAATGTTGTCAACAATGGCATCTTCCCATGTTGCCGCAATAGTGCCAAAGAGCTCCCAGTTGGTGGTCATTCTGGGAGTTCTCTTTTTAAACTTTGCAGACCTTTCTCCCTGCTGTGTGAAGTAGAATTTTGCACGAAGGAGACGGTGGTCCGATCCCGTTCGGAATTTTGGAACAACAGCGACATCAGTCAGGCAAAACCGTCAATTGAATATGATGTGGTCTATTTCGTTGTGGAATCGTCCACCAGGAGACTCCCATGTCCAACGTTTAGATTCTGCCTTCTGGAACTGTGAGTTTCCATGAATGGTCTTGGTCAACATGATGAACTCAGATGGTCACTCACCCTGTTCATTCCATTCTAGGCCATGGGTCCCAATGTGAAGTTCTTCAGCTGATCTTCTCGGTCCTATCTTGGCATTAAAATCACCCACAATGATCTTGTAGAAGGTGTGGTTTTAATAACACCAAACATCAGCCAAGCGGCACAAATGCTGGCCAACTTTGACCGTGAGTGTGGAAAGGTAGGACTACAGCTGAATCTTACGAAGACAATGTTTATGAGAAACAGCCTCGTTCCTGATGCCCCATTCGCTCTCAACGGAACCACCATCTCCGAATGCAACAGCTATGTGTACCTAGGTCGAGAAGTCAACATGACAAATGACCTGGCACCCGAGCTGTGCAGGAGGAAGAGAGTGACTTAGAACGCCTTCAAGAACGTCGAAGAAATAACTAAGAGGACGAAGAACCTCTGGCTCCTGGCACATCTCTTTGATTCCACTGTTCTTCCTGCATTAACATATGCCTCAGAGACCTGGGCCCTACGTAAACAGGATGAGAATGCTATTCGGGTCTCCCAAAGAGGAATTGAAAGAGCTATGCTTGGAATATCACGTTTCACTCAAATGAGAGAAAGAATCCGGAGTTCCAACATCCGTCGACGATCAAGAATCAGGGACGCTGTCTCGTTTTCCAAGGTGTCAAAATTCAGATGGGCTGGTCACATAATGAGATTTAAAGACGACCGCTGGACTAGAGCTGTTACTGACTGGATTCCACGGGATGTCAAAAGACCGTGTGGCCGCCCACCTACCAGATGGTCAGACTTCTTCATCAAGATCATGAACGATCGGATTGAGGCTCTTCATGTTCCCAGAGCGAACAGATGCCATTGGACTACACTAGCACACGACAGGGACAAATGGAGATGATACTGGCACCCGCTCGAGCAAATCGACGACTAACGGGAAGTTAAGTGATTAAGTGACTCATCTGATAAGGGATTAATATCCAGGATATACAAGACACTAGTAGAATTGTACAAGAAAAAAAACCTCCAACCCCATCAAAAAATGGGGAGAAGAAATGAACAGAAGTTTCCTCAAAGAAGAAATACAAATGACCAAAAGGCACATGAAAAAATGCTCCACGATGCAGATCAAAACCACAATGAGATACCATCTCACACCTCAGAGACTGGCCCACATTCAAAAGAACAAAAGCAACTGTTGCTGGCGCGGATGTGGCGAGAAAGGGACACTCCTTCACTGTTGGTGGGAATGTCCACTGGTTCAGCCCTTCTGGAAAACAGTATGGACGTTCCTCAAAAAATTAGAAATTGAGCTCCCATTTGACCCAGCGATACCACTCCTGGGAATATATCCCAGAGAGGCAAAAACGTGTAGCCGAAGTGACATCTGCACTTGTTTGTTCATTGCAGCACTCTTTACAGTAGCCAGAAACTGG